TATATATATATATATATATATTCATATGTATATTTCTTTAAAAGTGGGTATGTTAATCTTAAAATTTTTTAGTTAAGATTTTTATAACTTTCTTTCATTAATTTTTTTAATTTTAAAATACTTCATATTTTTTATTTGTTACCTTTTTATATGTAATATATCTCATCATTTATTTTCAAAGATGTTTGAGTTGACCCATATATTGCAATAACATAAAAATAATATAATTATTTATATTGATATAAAATAATATATATATATATATATCAGCACTAATTTAAAATAATAAATTGGTGTTAAAGTATATAATGTAATAAATTTTATATTCAAGTTAAATTAATTTTATTAAGTATAAAATAACATAAGATAAACTTGTGGTATGTTTTCATACAGAAATTTGAAACAATTCATATTAAAAAAAAGTAAAAAAATGGGTGTAAACTTTTAACTGTTCTCACGTTTTGGCTAGAGCGCCCAAATCCGATATATGTTTGACACGAGTTTGTCGTAATGCTGAAACTATGGCAAATGCACATTAGGGTACAAACGAAGCGAAGCAACGTAAAGTCATAGATAAAAGAAAAGACTAGGTCAGAGAAAAGAAATGAAATAACATTAGCTATGTGAAGTCAATTACTGCTGAAAAATGAACCTATAATGGTGGTACCATATATGTATTCAGTGATTATGAAAATGACTTAGTTAATTAATATGTTATCAAACATTAGAAAAAATTCTAAACTTTTTAATCTATTAATTCGTATAAAAAGTACAGCTTTATCAAATATATTACATTACATTTAATCTTATGTGATTATATTAATTGTAGCCTAATAAATAAGATAATTTGATAACATCATTATATAAAACACATACAAAAAATACCGTAATACGTATTTAATTACTTAGCAAATAAAATATTATTTGTCTATAGAATAAGAAACAAATAATATAATAGTAATGCAGTGAGAAAAAAAAAACGTGCTAATTTTCTTAGAAAAATATGAATACCAATATTTACAAACAAAAATCTTTTAAAATTACTACTTTTTGTTGCTAGCGTTTAAATATATGGACTCTGTAAGAAATTGGTTCTCATAAATAATGATCATATATTATTTATTTTCAATTTTAAATAATTAAAAAATCCAAAAATTTGTATACATAATGTATATTTTAATCATGACTCCATAATAATAAACTTCACAGATGACTAAAAGTATCGTCTTATAATGAAATTCTAATTCTTCTGCTGTCAAATATTTTAACAAATATATGTTTCTCAATATTTTCTCATTTTTTTTGTTTGTTTCGTTTTATCATTGCAAAAAAATAGATTATATTGTTCGTCTATATTCTAAATAAATAACACTAAAAATGAAATGTATGAGTATCAAAACAATTTTGAATGTTAGAATGAAGTTGTCATTTCTTATAGAAATATTTATAATCTCATTGGTGTATTGCGCTTGAACATATATGCAATTACTTTAGAGGTACTTTCAGGTAATGTATGGTGATTTCAAAAAATAATTTAGCACCTCGGGAGAAGTACATGTAACCCAGATTTTGGAAAGTCAACTTTTATTTGGAGATAAAATTCATTCCCACCTCGTGGGGTGATGCATCAATAGAGTAGATACCAATATATCTAGAGACGGAGGAATGTAAAATTAGTTAAGAGGAATTAGTAGTTTATACAGTGATAAAAAATATCAGCAATTTTAGTGACACCGTTAGTTATTTCATAGAGATATTTATCCTTTTTTTAGTAGAAGTACCTTGTTATAAAGATCATGCGATCATGAAATTTGACTATATGTTGGGTCAGAATGTTTCTTAAGTGTTTGAATAAAATTGACGTTTTGCCAAATTAATTAAGAGAAATTTTGCAATATTATTGATGTATTAGACTCCAACGACTATGAATGTTCTTATGAGAACGTCAAAACCAAGATAAAAGAAAATCTTTGTGGTTTTTTATTATGGATTTTTTTTATATATATTTTTGTTGGGGGTTGTAAAACGTTATTTCCCTCTTTTTTTATGAGGACATCATTACGTTAATTCTAAATAAAATAAATCACATATGAGTTCATTTTTTTCTATATTTTACTTCATTTATACAATGATATGTTTAATAAATTAATTAATTTATTTTGCAAACATACTCCGCGAATATCATTCGACACCACGTGCATCGCACGTGCACTTTACTAGTGGGTATAAATGGACCCCTCTTGAACGACATGGATGAAACCAAGTAAAAATAGTCAAAATCAAATGAGAAAATTTATGAGGGGTAAACATGTATTATTAATTGAGAAGATGACTTTGGGATTTCAAGCAAAACTACAACAGTGGGGGAGAGGGAAACATTGACTACAACTATTCATATCAAGAGTTATCATAGTTAGAAACGAGTTCATTAGACTGTACCAAAATCCTATCACTGCAACAATTATAGCCCTACAAACAATTACTAATGTTATCCACACAGTACAATCCACTCAAAGTACGATAATATTAGTCCTACCCCATCCTTCCAAGCAAAAGAACCTGTAGTCTAGTTAACAAGGAACTAAATATATATTTCTAAGGCAACTTTCGAAAAATAGTAAGACAAAAAAATAACTCTGGAGAATCGGTCAGATAAAATAAGGATGATGGTATAATAGGGGGCGCAAATTAAGTAAATAATTATTTGGATTGCTACCTCAGTTGGTTCAAACCATACATCTGGACTGATTGTATCTGCATACCTATAATAAGACTGGACATGGTGCAAAAGTCAGGGAACACGATGACAAGTGGTTCCATACAAAAAGAAACTGAAAAATAACACAATAACAGAACTAAGAATGAAAAGAAGCATAAAAGACCACAAAGGTAGTGAATGAATCCAATCTAACCTTTGGCTTGGGAATAACTTTAGAGCGTAGGCTGGCAGAACGTTCCTCAAGCATTACCTCAGAAAATCCAGTTCCTATTAAAAAAAAAAAAAA